TCACGATGATCATTTCCTTTCTTAATCTATGCCAAATTAGCACCGCATCGAGTTTCGAACCATTGGAACTTCAATTAACGGCCTGTAACGATGTTACATTTAACCGTTAAAAGCGAATGCTTGATATCGGACTATTTTCCAAACTTTCATTATTTCGTGTTTCAACTAATGTTTGGCGCACAACTTTTGTTGCACGGCGTAACTTGTTTTTTAGAACCCTCTCTCGTTCATCGATTACCGGTAGTATCAGTGTTCAACGAAGCTCCGTGACAAACCCGATCGCGAAGGACTCGAGACAATGAATTCCAATTATCGCGAACGAAAGTTACGGAACGAGTCGCGCGATCGTCGAGAAGGATACGTTTTCGGGACGATATCGATTTCCCATTATGTTCCGGACCACGTGTTCCGCGAGACGTTCGATTGATCCTGCTAGCACACATTTGTCGTAACACGGTAGGAGGAAGGGCGCTTTCGTGTGGCTGTCATATCCTGCGGTCGATCTCCCGTTCCTCCGCGCTCCACTCCATCTTTGAGATTCGCCCGCTCTTATGATCTCCTGAAATATGTTCGGCCGCTTCGTGTAAATCCATTTCATCCGTCCATTCATCCGGCACCCTTATCCACGTACAAGCTTACATAGACTCCGACGGGAAATCTATGAACCACGCGCACGTGTGCACGGCCGTTCTCGTCCTCCCGCCATTCCGACCACTCAATTAATTCAATCAATACGGCGAGCACGAGCGCGCGGGCGCGGGCAGAGTGTCACAAACACGCGGCTACCTACTTTCAAGGGCCCACTTCGTCGTCTTAAAAACTTCGAATCACGATCCCGCGAAAAATAATAGTCGACCCCTCCGACGTGGAATTAATTCCTCCGAACGCGTCGAAGCGTTCCAAATGTTTTACGATGTCATCGACAAGGCGCCCCAGAATGATAAATTACTCCCTAATGAAAACAGACTCGTGACTGCGTAAATTAAGAGTAAAGTTTAGCACAGAGAAATCGCGAATTTTGACCAATTGATTGTGCATCAACATACACGCGAGTTACTCGGGCATCGAGTCAAGAAAAACCTGGTGCAAGATCTGGCAACGAACGGTTTCAACCGCCTGCCGAGGTTTAAAAGCTCCGCAGACTCATAAGACCATCGAAGATCGATGAACAGCGAATCACACGTTCGTTTCGCCTCTTGGTCGGCAAGCGAACGAAGAAGGAAGAGAATCAAGGAGGAAAAGCGATCGAAGGAAGAGAGACGGAGAATTAGTTCGCGGTGAAATCTGCTCCGAGGGATTTCCATCGGTACGTGACGCGTTTTTCAAGGTAACGCCGCGTTGGAAACATGGCCTGACGGATGGTGAAGGCTCTTTATCTCGCGTAGGATACGGTCTTTATCGAGTCGAAAAGTACGTTAGCCAGTGGTATCCCGGTGAGATTAGGATGTCGAGAATCGGTAAGTTAGGCTAGGTGGTCGTTTGGTTGGCGCAGATAAAGCGGAACGAAGCCGGCACCCGGGATTCCGAAGTTTGCGAACTTTCGTTTCACTTGATACCGATAATAAGGATAATAGGAGAACGGAACGCTGTGCGTTGTTCGGCGAGTTCTCGAATTCTCTCGTCAGAAAGGGAAATAAAAATGAAACGTGGAGAGCGCCCTAAAGCCGGCGAGGGTGGGGATGGCGAAGAGAAAAAAGTAAAAACAGCATCGATAACGGTTTCGTAACTTCGTTGCAAGAACGTGTACGCTTACGTAATAACGACTTTTAAAGTACAGGCCACGGGAGGGACCCGTAAAATTAATGTCTCGATATCGTCTACCAGAAGGGACTCTCCATTTCCATCGAACTCGTCGCTGTCGATCGTTCGTTCGCCAACTTCGCGCCAACTGCAATTTCCACCGGGTTAAGTATTTTTTAACGAGCAGCAGTTTTTTAATATCGCGAAGCCCACTTACCGGATTTCGCCGGTGTGTTTCGTGTACCAATCGACGAGGAAGAGGACAGAGGGATTATTAGATCGGGCTCCTGATCATTTTCTAAGCGCGTTAAGCGTCTCGGAGGCTTCCTTTTTCCCCGTGAAGCTCGGGGTTTATTATAAAGCGATATTTACGCGACGCTCTGCACCCTGGCTGCGTCCGGTCGCCTCCCGGTACGCTAAGCCGACTGGATCTTCTCCGGCTGGAATCTCCTGAATTAAACACAAAGTTGATAAACCCAAAAGAATGTTTGGATTTTCTGCGCGAGGAGGGTTGCAGAGGCCGGAGGGGCGGTCATGGAGGGCGGCAAAGCATTCCGATCCTCGAGGGTGCTTCCCTCGA